TTCGGGAATGATCTGGCAGATAGAGCTGATGTAGGAGAGGGGAGTGAAGTTCTTAGGAACGTGAGAGACAAAGCCATCCAGGGCAGAAGCCGAGCGACTGGTCAACTTTGGTGTAAGTGAAAAGGAGAAGGTAGCTGTGGGTGAAGATAAATTATAGATATGGTGGAAGAAAATGAAATAGTCTATATCTTTTTCAATAAAAAAAGGAATAAGGTGGGGAACCAGCTGAAAGGGGTGTGGGTTGTAGGAAGTGAGTGTTTAGGAAATGTTAAGAAGCAGAAGACAAACATGTAAGCATAAGCTTATCTGAAACCTACATTTATAAACTAGAGAGACAACCAAATGTATTTGGTGTTCTGTGGAAAAACGTGTATGTTTTTGCTTAATAGAAGGGAACTTTAGTGATTCAAGGTGTCCTTATCTAGAGAGAAAACATTAAAATGAATTTCTTCCCTGTTATCCAATCCTGTATAAATATCATCAGAGTTTTCATTTGTCTTCAATATTTTGAAATCCCCTCATGAATCTCAAAAAGTCATTAATGCTTGGGGTACCTGAGTGGCTCAGGTGGTTAAGTGACTAACTCTTGATTTCAGCTCAGGTCATGATCCCAGGGTTGTGGGGATCCAGCTCTGCGTCAGGCTCCGTGCTGAGCATGAAACCTGCTTACGATTCACTCTCTCCCTGGGAATGCAAACTGGTGCAGCCACTCTGGAAAATATTATAGAGGTTCCTCAAAAAATTAAAAATAGAACTCCCCTACTGTTGTACATGAATTTAGCCTCAGTCCTTCCATCGCGACCCAGAGTTTACCTTTGGGTCTACACTTGGAGGGCTACATAACTATTCTCAGGTGCAAGGAAAAACACACAAATAAGAAGACAAGGGTTAATGGTCCCTGTTAATGGTTATTTATGACACAGCTGGCATACTCTGTGCTTGAGGTAATAACTGTTCCTTTGAGATCCCCCTTCGACCCTAAGCCTCGCCTTCAGAATGACAAATGTTTTCCTACACACCAGGATAAGGGCTGCTCTCTTTATCACTTTGTAACCTTGTTACAATAACTGCTCGCTTCTGCTTCTGTACTGTCCACTTGCCTGCTTGTTCATTATAAAAAGCCCTAAGTCCTTGGACTCGGAGCCGCACATTTAGAGTTCTATGTTAACTCTGTGTGGTCCCAGCCGGCAATAAAGACTCCCTTAATTCAGCTTCAGTGGTCTCGGTTGGTCTCTGTGTCTATCAGTATAACACCGCAACCCAGCAATTGCACTACTAGATATTTAGCCAAAGGATACAAAATTACTGATTTGAAGGGGCACATGTACCCCAATGTTTATAGCAGCACTACTGGCCATAGCCAAATTATGAAAAGAGCCCAAATGTCCATTGACTGAAGAATGGATAAAGATGTGGTATACAATGGAATATTACTTGGCAATCAAGAAGAATGAAATCTTGCCATTTGCAACAATGTGGCTGGAACTAGAGTGCAATAAGTCAGAGAAAGATAAATATGATATGATTTCACTCATATGTAGAATTTAAGAAACAAAACAGATGAACATAGGGAAAGAGAAGGAAAAATAAGATAAAAAGAGAGGGAGGCAAATCATCAGAGACTTTTAAGTACAGAAAACAACCTGAGGGTTGCTGGAGGGGAAGGGAGTGGGGGGATGGGCTGAATGGGTGATGGGCTTTAAGGAAGGCATTTGTTGGGATGAGCATTGGGTGAGGAATCAGTAAATTCTACTCCTGAAATCATTATTACAGCATATATTAACTAACTTGAATTTAGATAAAATTTAAAAATTAAAATTAAATTAAAAAATAGATTCTCTCTCTCTGATCCTCTACCCCTTTCTAAAATAAAAAATATGAAATTGAATTTTATTTTATTATTATTTTTAATGTTTTATTTATTTCTGAGAGAGAGAGAGAGAGAGAGGAGGCAGCATGAGCAGGGGAGGGTCAGAGAGAGAGGAAGACACAGAATCTGAAACAGGCTCCAGGCTCTGAGCTGGCTGTCAGCACAGAGCCAATGCAGGGCTCGAACCCATGAACTGTGAGATCATGACCTGAGCCGAAGTCAGATGCTTAACCGACTGAGCCACCCAGGCGCCCCTAAAATGAAATTTTAAAGAAGGAAGAAAATTAAAAATAGAAACAAAAATGAAAAACAGGGGTGCCTGTGTGGCTCTTTCAGTTAATGTCTTGTTGTGCCCGAATCGCGAGTCCCAGAGACCTCCAAGGAGCCGGCACCGATGCAAATACAAAAGGGTCTTTATTACAAGCTCGAGCAGGGGCTCACCAGCCTACCGGTGTCATGGCAGCAAGGTGAAGCCAAGAACAATAGCGAGTTGGGTTTTTAAGGAGTAAGGGATGAGGGTGTTACAGTACATGTAGTATCATCACATAAGCACCAATTACAATTGTATAGCAGTACCCATGGTAACAGCTTTGATCATTCAGTATCTGTGAGGTGTTCATTACTTTTGGTGGGACCCAATCATGACTTTTGAGAATCCTTTGAAAATGACCAATTATAAGGTGAGTTCAAAGTGCCCACGTGGGATTCAGGCAAGCGGTGAGAAGTTGGCTAGTTTGTATCTGCAGTTCCCAGCCTTGACTCAGACCATAGGAATGTTTTTTGATTAGCTGATGTGAGGGCGGTCCGAGGATGGCTTTAGCCTTGAACAGTCTGAGGCTTTTCGTGGAACTGGGACTGGGGCTACGTGCATCCCGAGGTTGCTCTTAATGGAGGCCTTAATTCTTGGCTCTTCAGTCTGACTTTGGCTCAGGTTATGATCTTGTGGTCCATGAGTTTGAGATCAGCATCAGACTCTGTGCTGACAGCTCAGAGCCTGGAGCCTGCTTCGCATTTTGTGTCTCCCTCTCCTTTCTGCCCTCCCCTGCTCATGTTCTGCCTCTCTCTCATTCTCAAAAATAAATAAGCATTTAAAAAATTAAATAATAAAATCAATATTGAAAAATAAATACACTATAAATATTCCTACTCTCTGAATCCTGAGTTTCAGATCCTAGATTTAGGTAGGAAATTAAAAAAAAAAAAAACTTATCTAAATCTATTTGTTCCTGAGTTTCAACTAGCCAAAACCAGGAATTTGGATAGCAACGAAATGATAAAAAAAAATTTACCTGAGTTCCTGGTTCCTGAGTTTGGATAGCAAAGGTTGCCTTGAACATTTTTCTCCGCACGTATACACAATGATGACAGAATCACTCCTATCTATCAGAAATAATGTGCATCATGCTCTACTTTTCTCTCTTCTCCCTTGTTCCCCAAATCCAGTCAATAAACTCCTGCAAGCTTGTATCTCCTAACTCAAATCTATTTCTCTCCATCATTCTCACGTGTCCTAATGGTCTCCTGCAAATCATGTCGCTGTCCAGTCCATTCTTTACACTGTAACCAGCCACAATATTCTCGAAATTCTCATCATGGCTCTGCCCCATTTAACATCCTTCAGCGGCTCATCATTGCTCTTAGGATCATGGCTATGTCTCCAGAGCCTCAACCCACGTCTTTTCCTGCTACCCCTACTCTATTCCAAGCACAGTAAATGACTGCACTTGTCCTTTCAGAAAGAGCTGCCACCTCTATCTCCAGGGCTTTGTGTATGCTGTCCCTCCTTCCTGGAACACTGTCACACCCCAGCTGTGTGAACAGCTCCTATTTTAGTTCTCAGCCTAAAATGTTACTTTCTTCGGAGAGTATTCTCCTGACCTCTCTTTCCACTATCCAAAGCATAGATTAGAGGTTTCTTTTTTTTTTTTTTTTCAAAAAAATTTTTTTTAATGTTTTATTTACTTCTAGGAGAGAGAGAGAGAGAGACAACGTGAGCAGGGGAGGGTCAGAGAGAGAGGGAGTCACAGACTGAAACAGGCTCCAGGCTCTGAGCTGGCAGTCAGCACAGAGCCCGACGCGGGGCTCGAACCCAAGAACCGTGAGATCATGACCTAAGTGAAAGTCAGACGCTTAACAGACTAAGCCACCCAGGCGCCCCATAGATTAGAGGTTTCTTCTCTGAATTCCTTTTGGATCCCATGCTCGTTCTAGCATTGCAGTTTATTCTGTGATGCACTTTATCTATACCCCCTAAACTTCGTACGTGCATGTACTCTCTTTCTCTCTATTCCCTCCTCTCTCTGCCCCTCCCCTGCTCGTGTTCTCTCTCTCTCAATAAAAATAAACATTTAAAAAATGAATAAAACATTTCTATCATAGTTCCTTCTTCATGCCCTTTTATAGTTAATCTCCCTTCCCCCATCCTCAGCCCTAGGAAACTGTTTTCAGTATAGTCTTGCCTATTCTAGAATTTCATGTAAATTAAATGATACAGTATATGCTCTGTTTTACTATTTTTTTAAAATTTATTTTTAGGGATGCCTGAGTGGCTCCGTTGATTAAGCATCTGACTTTAGTTCAGGTCATGATCTCATGGTTTGTGAGTTCAAGCCCCACATCAGGACCTTTGCTGTCACCATAGATCCCACTTTGGATCCTCTGTCCCCCCTCTCTCTCTCTGCTCCTCTCCCATGCACGCTATCTCTCTCTCTCAAAAATAAATAAAAACATTAAATAAATAAATACATAAATTTATTTTTAAGTAATCTCTATACCCAATGTGGGGCTCAAATTTACAACTCTAGCCAAGTGACTGACTCAGTCAGTGAAGCATGTGACTCTTGACCTTGGGGCTGTAGGTTCAAGGCCCATGTTGGGTGTAGAGATTATTTAAAAATAAAATCTTAAAAAAATAAATTAGGGGCACCTGGGTGGTTCAGTTGGTTAAAGGTCCAACTTCGGCTCAGGTCATGATCTCATGGGTTGTGAGTTTGAGCTCCATATAGAGTTGTCTGCTGTCAGCACAGAGCCTGCTTCAGATCCTTTGTCCGCCTCTCTTTCTGCCCCTCCCTCTCACTCTCTCTCTCTCTCAAAAATAAGTAAATAAAACTGTGGTAAAATATACAGAACAAAAAAGAATACAGAATGCTTCATAAAGCATGTCATCCTTGCACAGGGGTCATGCTAATCTTCTCTGTATAGTTCCAATTTTAATATAGGCACTGCCGAAGTGAGCACAATATGTAAAGACCTCTTGTGTATCTGAGTTTGTTGTTGTTTTTTAAATTTTTTTAATGTTTTATTTATTTCTGAGAGAGAGAGAGAGAGACAGCATGAGCAGGGGAGGGTCAGAGAGAAAGGGAGAGACAGAATCTGAAGACAGGCTCCAGGCTCTGAGCTGTCAGCACAGAGCCCGACATGGGGCTCGAACCCGTGAACCGTGAGATCATGACCTGAGCCAAAGTCGGCCACTCAACCGACTGAGTCACCCAGGCACCCCTGTTGTTGTTGTTTTTGCACAACATAGTGTTTTTGTTATTCACATCTATTATTGCATGTTCAAGATATTTTAATTTGATTTTTAAAGCAAATTATGTTTCTAGATTGGATAATTTTTTTTAAATATCACTATTCATATATTAGAAAGTTAAGGGGCACCTGGGTGGCTTAGTCGGTTAAGCATCCGGCTTTCGCTTAGGTCATGATCTCGCGGTTCGTGGGCTCGAGCCCCGCGCCGGGCTCTGTGCTGACTGCCAGCTCAGAGCCTGGAGCCTGTTTCAGTCTGTGACTCCCTCTCTCTCTGACCCTCCCCTGCTCACGCTGTCTCTCCCTCTCTCTCCTAGAAATAAATAAAACATTAAAAAATTAAAAAAAAAAAAAAAGAAAGTTAAATAGGGGCACCTGGATGGCTCAGTCAGTTAAGTGTCCAACTTTGGCTCAGGTTCTGATCTCACGGTTGGTGAACTTGAGCCCCCATCAGGCTCTCTGCTGTCAGCTCAGAGCCCACTCCAGATCCTCCGGCAGCCTCTCTCTGCCCCTCCCTCACATGCACATGCATACTCTCTCACTTTCAAAAAAAACACATTTTTTAAAAAGTTAAATAAACTTGAGTAGTTTCTTGGTGTCTGCTTGTTGGCCAAAAAAAAAAGGGGGGGGGAGTTCTGTGTTATTACTTTCAGAATCAATTGATTTCACAAGTAAGAAGGCAATAGTGATCCATATAAAGACGGTACCGGAGCAGGGCAGCAGATAATGGCAGCCCAGGACAGCACTGGTAAGGGTGGCAGGGACGACCTGGTAGGGTCAGGAGACTGGCTCATACAGGGAACTGAACAAATAAGTAAATATATTTCAGAAAATGGTAGCCAGATTTCTCACTGAGAAGGAAGATACAAAAACAAAAAGGGAGAAAGTTAGAATGAATCCAGTAGTATTGAACTGGGTTTGGAATTATCAATATGAATTAATAGTTTACAATGTCGGTGGATAGTGATACAGATAAATATAGAAGTAAAGGTATATACTTATACTTCCTAGCTCTGTCTACAGAGTAAGCCTGGAAGCAGAAACATTCCAGTAGAAATGAGCACATCTAGAACTTGATGTTGGTTTCTAAATACCACTCTCTATTAAAAGGAACCAGTGTCCCTTGAATAAATAGCTGATTCCAAAGAGGAATAAGGAAAATACAAGTTGAGCTTAGAACATCTTGTGCCGGGAAATATGGAAGTCCTCAAATAAAAACAAAAGCAAAACATTATGGCAACATGTCAAGAAGATATACAATTGCAGCATTCTCACTGGCCAAATCTGAGATAACTATATTATAATAATATTTATACATTATAACGTACTGAATTAAATAGAATTCATGATATAAGCAAATTAATAAAGTATGGGGAGAAGAGGCACCTTTTTCTTACAGTAGAACAGAATTAGAAAAAAACCCATTTGGCAATTATCATGGTAATAAATAATTCAAGAGAGAAACATCAATGGATTCTAATACCAGCAGATAAAAATGAGATGAAGAATTAGATATTTGTATAGTTTCAAAGTATCTCTGCATAAAATACCTATTAATTTACAAAGATGCAATGTAACTTCACAGTGGAGAAAATTAGAAGACATCATCTTAAGTGATCAAATTTAATGCCATCAACAATGTACAAATTGACACTGTGTGCTTCTCAATGGGATATGAGGATTCATTGTATGAATCCAAATATTAAGGGCATTTTGCAAAATGACTATGTCTTATAATCTTCAAAAATCTCAAAAGGATTTCTTCTCTGCAGAGGACTGATGCTCTGCTTGCAGGGGTTGAGGTGCACATGAGGGAGTGCTGAGGAGTGGCAGGGTCCATTTCAGTGACAGCTTCATGTAAGGACATAGGGTGTGTGGGGCATTGGGCTCTGGTTGCCCACTGAGAATCGCACCCACCTTCCCACGAAAAAACTCATTTATTCATTTACTTATTTATTTATTTATTTATTCATTCATTCATGACTCAAGGATTTATTAAATCATACATGCAAAACATACTGCTAATTGCATTAGCAGAAGATCAATGTAAAAACACTCCACAATTCTGCAATTGTCAATTAAAAAAATTTTGTTCTAGTGGTTGAAAGGTCCAACCTTGTATTCTTGCCAGTGGGTGAGTTGTACAGAACTTGGTTAGCGGGAGCAGGGGCTTACAGAACCTCACAGACCCAAAGGGACGTGGTTAATTAGGCAGAGCAACAGGAAGCCTGTTTGTGTGTATATGGGGGGAGGGGGAGGCAAGGAGGAGGGTGAGCATTAGTTAAGGTTCAGCACTGGTCATCTGGCAAGACAGTGATGTTAAGAAAGTTCATATTTTAGGAATATCTAAAATATTTCAAAAACTGTAAAGTTGCAACATATGATTTTTACACGTAGTTACTAGAAAACTAAGGAAACTAGAGAAATAAGTCAGGCAGAAAAGGACAAATATCATATGTTTGCAAGTATAGGAGGATTAGGAGGAACTTAACGGAGGACCATGGGGGAGAAGAAGGGGGGAAATGGTGGGGGAAAGGGAGAGAGGCAAACCATGAGAGACTCTTGAATGCTGACAAAAACTGAGAACTGATGGATGTAGGGGGGAGGGGGGATGGGCATGGAGGAGGGCACTTGTGGGGATGAGCACTAGGTGTTATACGGAAACCAACTTGAGGCTATCCAGGTGTCCTAGCACCATTTGTAGAAAAGATTATTCTTTCCCAATTGAAGGTTTTAAAATGCACTATTGTTATAATTCGATTGGCCATAGACTCATGGGTTTATTTCTTGACTCTCAATTCAGTTCCATTGTTCTATATGTTTCTTCTTATGTTAGTATTCCATGTCTTGATTACTGGAGCTTTGTAGTAAGATTTAAAATCAGAAAGTGTGAATCCTCTTTGTTCTTTTTAAAAATTGTTTTGGCTGTTCTGGGTTCCTTGAGTTTCCACATGAATTTTAGGATTAGCCTGTCAATTTCTACAAAAATGCTGGCTGAGATCCTGAAAGGGATTGTGTTAAAGCTGTATACCAAGTTGATGTATTAACATCTTAACAATATTAAGTCTTCTGACCCATGGACATGGATATTTTTCCACACTTATTTAGCTCTTTTTAAATTTCTTTCAATATTTTATAGTTTTCAGAGTATACCTTTCTTCAAAAATTTTTTATATTTCTTTTTATACTTTATAAATTATTTTTATGCTACTGGAAAGGGAATTGTTTTCATAGTTTCATTTTCAGATTTTTAATTGCTAATGTATAGAAATAAATTGATTTTTTGTACATTGATTTTATATCCTAAAATCTTGCTGGACTCAATTATTTGCTCTATTGACTTTTTAGTGGTTTTCTTAGGACTTTCCACAGATAAGATCATTTCTTCTGTGAATAGATGGGAGTTTTACTTCCAATCTCGATGCATTTAATTTCATTTTCTGGCATGGCAGACAGATTGCAAACCACCAAACATTTAAAAATATCAAGTAATAATGTCAGATATGTACAGAAATAAACTATGATGATGTGATGAGAGTGACCTCGGTAACTTTAGATTGAACACATGGGAAATGCCTCTTGTGAGGAAGTGACATGTAACCTAACATCTGAATTACTACAAAGAGCTTTCTACATAGTGGAAACAGCTAATGTGAAGGAACTGAAAGAGCAGGTAGGCTAATATGAGGGGAATGTAGCAAGCAGGATGGAAAAAGAGATCGAGAGGCAACTAGGGGTGAGGCCAAGTAAAACTTCGGAAACCTGAGCCATGGAGGTTGCATATTAATCTAGGTTTGATGGGGTGTTACTGGAGAGTTAAGCAGGGAGTAATGTGGTCTAATTCACATTTCAAAATCACCATAGTTGCTTTGTGAAGAACAGGTTGGAGTGGAAGCCAGGGAATTACTTAGGGGGCTATTGTGACACTTCCTGTAGAAGATGTTAATGACTTGGCATGGGGATAATGGAGATGGAGAGAAGCAAATGGATGTAAGGGCATGTTTGGGATCTATTGATGAATTGGATGTGGAAAAGTGGAGGAAAGAGAGAAACAGGAATAATTGCTGAGTAGCTGGTTTTTGCACTTGGGTGGGTGGTAGTGCTTTACTGAACTGGGAAGATTAGGCTTGAACAAGCAGGGAGTGGAGGGGTGGGATACAGCACAGGTTCCGTGCTATGTTCAGTTGGAGACACTTATCGGTATTCCTAATAGGAACGCAAGTAGGCAGCTGGATAAACATGATTGGAATGATAGGCAGTGAGCCATTTCCAGCCTGAAGGAGCTGCCATGAGGCAAGAGGCACTCCAGGAGGGACTGTCTAAAGCAATCCATGGTGAAATGGTTTCAATGTGTTGGAATTTGCTGATAGGCCCAGATTCCAATCCCAGTTTGTGGGTTACTTCACCTCTCTGCACTCTCTTCCCTACCTATAAAATGGATAACACCTGATTTGGGGGTTCATTGTGAGGCTAATGGAGGTAAAACATGTAAGAGAGCTAGCGCCATCCTCAGTATACATATTCAACAAATAGCAACTACTCTCCTATAGCACCTACAGTCTGATAAGAGCTAGCCTTGTCCTAGACAAATAAGAAGAGCCAAACTAGCTACATTTTCTCAAGGAAAAATGCATCTCGGAAAGAGGGATGTTATAAGACTATGCTGCAGTTCTCACTCTATTCAGTAAACCTCTTTGAAAACAGCATAGG